GGAACTCTCCACAATTAAGTTCGCAAGCCTTAGGACGCCATTGAATTCCCTTAGGCTTACCTCCCAATAGGTTTACTCATCTAGGCTGGAGCGCAGTTTCGATCGGGCCTGGGCCTCAAAGGCACCCCTAATGGGATTTGAAACCGGGGCAATCGCACAGTGGCGATGCGCTACCATAATTACACATAGCCGAGTGTGTCAGTGGGTCTTATCTAATGTCACTTGAGGTAATGAATGACTGGTAGCGAAATTCCCCACAATAAAATGAGTAGACGTCACGATAAAATTGAATTTCACTTGGCCTTGCCTCCTAAAAGTTATTATCATCCAGGGTAGACTGCAGTTTGACCTCGCATGGGTCTCATCAGCTCCCCCAACGGGACTCTAAACCGAATAGGGCAATGTATAATTTAGACACGTTTAACACTATTTGATTTAGAAGTTGTTTGACCTTGTTTTCGCAACATGGTCATATTGGTAGGAAGACTTAGAGGAATTCACCTAGTCCGGAGTTCATTGTATGCATGATCATTTCCAAAGTTTAACCGTGGACGTGGTACATTCCCAACTTTGGAAATGATCATGCATACAATAGACTCCGGACTAGGTGCGTTCCTCTAAGTCTTCCTACCAATATGATCATGTTGCGAAAACAAGGTCAAACAACTTTTTTACAACGAAAGGAGACTGCGACCACACCATCTTAGTCTCCATACCTTTCATATTTGATTTAACTTAATTTATTAGGTTTATTCACTTACATTATAAACTGAGCTACTTTTTCCATATCTATTCCACACGCTTGAAATGATTAGTTCAGACCAGTCCACGCCCTTTACTTCTGTATCCTAAGCCAGAATAGAAGTCATTTGTCATATGTGAAAGTATATTTTTCCACTTGATGAATCCGAATTGTATACAATGCAGCTGAATAGGAGTATGTACATAGAGATTGTTGCTGAAACGTAGCATGGCTAGAAATGTAGGATTTAAACCCCAAAAAATGCGATGTTTATCCGTAAGAATTAGATATAGATGTGCACAGATTTCGCAATCTGTCGACAGCTGTTTATCGGTTGACGCCAAGTGGGCTGTTCATCCTCTGTGCAAAATATTCAACAGTCCTGTATGCATCGGTTTCTTACCCGGCCATGACTGATCATATCTGATTTTAGGACCCATGATGCACTCTTCATGGTCCTGGTACAAGCCGACGAAAAGACTAGTAGTCAAGTCTGAGGATTTGGGGGCTTTTATGGAGAGGAAATATGGTCACAGTTGATACAAATGCTTTGACTCGTTCAAATAGTAATCGGGGAAAATGAATGACTTCATAGTCTGACTTTTGGCTTGGCCTCTCCTCTCCTCAATCAGGTGATTGCTTTCTTCGCTGACAGACTTACCAGTTCTGGCTGGTCCCCGCCAACAGAAAACTGGGCAATTCGCTGACATGTGGCCAACTGCTCCGCCGTAAGGCAGTCAGGCCTGGAAGGCGCAGGCATTGTGATCGTCGTCGTCGACCCAGGCGTAATTTTAGTTGGCTCAGCGGACGGTCTGCCCGAATTAACCGCTAAGAGACAGGATGAGGCGGAGCGAGCCAAAAGCTCTCGACTGACCTTGCGACTGACCAGCAAACCAAGATCACCACCACTTGCGACCATCAGATGGACACCTTCATTTCCGTTGCGACGAATTGGTGACACAAGATCTATCAGGCTCCGACAACTGCGACCCAAACTAAGGCCGAGAACACGAGAACCGGGCTTTGGCTCGTCTGCCTCGCTCTCATTGTTTTTTTTTGGTCTGTTGTCTCCTGTTGCAGAATGCTTGTGAGTCACATCGCTTTTCTCAGCACACAAACAAAGCTGGCACATATAAGCGTGATTTTCAAAGTAAAAAATTTAAGTTAATAAGGGGCTTATAAAAAGGGGACCCACTATAACTTTCTAGTTGGGCGTTGCTAATATATAAACCAGAAATATACACCAACAAATCGCTGTAAAAGGAATAGTCAGGGGATGGTCCGACTCCGTTTTTGAAGCCGGACCTGGTCAAATTTTTACCAGACACAATGGGCAAGCAAAGCTAAACCAACCGAAGTATTGCTACCTCAGAACGACTTGGCTCAAGTAGAGTAGGCCTAGACTTTACTTGAGCAATTCAGTCTAGGAGTGGTCTCAAGATATTATTGCTAAGGTTGGGCAAATGAAGCTTTGCAGGGTGGAAAAAATACCTTGGGCGGATTATCTGAAAGCAGGTCATGTGTCGTTGTACTCTAATATGAGATGTATTCACCCTATTTCGTCTAAGGTGATGAAAACCGCGACAGGTTCGACTCCCGCTGAGGGTGTTGATAAGACCGATGCGAGGTCGAAACTGCAGTCCACTCTGGATGAGAACAACTTTTGAGAAAGCAGGGCTATGTGAAATAGAATGGAAACGTCATCTCAACTCATATCATTGTGGGAAAATTCTACTACCAGTCCTTCATCAGCTTACACGAAATAGGGTGAATA